TGGTTTCCTCAGGGATGGCTCTCTTCAGGGATGGCTCCTTTGGGGCTGGCTCCCTTGGGAATGGTTCCCTCGTGGATGGCTCCTCTGGGGATGCTTCTCTTGGGGCAGGCTCCCTTGGGGATGGTTCCTTTGGAGATGGCTCCCTTAGGGACGGCTCCCTCAGGGATGGTTCTCTCAGGGATGGCTCCCTTGGAGCTGGCTCCCTTGGGGATGGCTTCCTAGGGGTGATTCCCTTAGGCTGGTTTCCTCGGGGACGGCTCCTTCAGGGATGGCTCCCTTGGGGATGGTTCCTTGGGGCTGACCCACGCTGGGGTCACGGAGAGAGTGAGCAAACAGGCAGGGGGGTTCACAGCCGGGTGTCCACGGCTCCTGTGACACCCATGCTCAGCAAACAAGGGCTGTGCTGCCACGGGGCGAGGCCCCAGCACCTGGAGCTGTTATGGGCAATGTCAGGGTTGGGGTCAGTTTACCCAGCAGGGCTGGGCAGACGCTGCTGCAGCCTCTGAACGGTGCTTTGGAAATACCTCCGTGTGCTTATGTCCCTTACTGGGCTGTGCTTGGTATTGCCTGTGTTTGCCTTGGCTTTGGGATCTCTCCAGAGGGGTTATCCCTCCATCTCACCCCACAGAGAGCAAAGAATGGTGTTTGCATGAAGCCGCTGGCACTGACTGGGGTTTATTGGGTGGGCAATGAAGGGTGTCCCCAATTGTCCTGTGAAAGAGACACTGCTCCTCTCATAGCAGGATGCAGGAGTGCCTTAGTACATCAAGAGCATCAGACCAAAGCTTTCCTCTGTGACAGCATCATTATTTGCACTGAATAATCTTCTCTTTTTTGGTCTTTCTCCAGTTTGCCAACTTTAGCTGCCATTTGAGGTCGAGTCTTCAGAAGGGTTTTTTTTTTTTTGTCTTTCGTTTCTTTTCTCCTTAACAGCAAAACCAGATTAGTGATGCACTGATGGGGGTGGGGGCTCTTTCATGGCAAGAAGCCTGAATTCCATACAGATGCCAACAAGGAATCTGTACAAAATGCCTCATGTTTGACCATGATGAGCTCTGGCTCACAGGTGCCTTTCTGCAGGTGGTGGCTCTGCAGGACACCAGGATGAAAAATGTCCTCTCAGACAGCATGAGGTGCTGCTCCATGCACTCTCCCTCCCTTCCTGACCATCACAGCTCGCCTCTTTTTTTCAGCTTGCAGAAAAATACGGTCCCATCTTCACCCTGCACTTTGGGTTCCAGAAAGTTGTGGTGCTGACCGGGTACGAAGTTGTGCGAGAGGCGCTTGTGAACTACACAGAGGAGTTTGTAGACAGACCATCCATCCCAATATTTGACCAAATTCAGAACAAAAATGGTACTAGAGCAATGAGGGGGGGGTGGAAGGGACAATGCTGTTGCTTAGTGCCCATGATGATGATGATGATGAGGCACAGCCCAACTGTGCATCCCTGGAGCCCAGCTTTTAAACATCCCCTTCTGAAGCCAAGTGACATCAAACATTTGGCTTTCCCTGCACGCAGTGGCTCCTGGCTTTCCATCATTTCTGCTGATGCACTTGCAGCCTGTCCATATCCAAAGAGTTGAGGGGTGGGAGGAGTGGGATTTTGAAGGCACTGTGGTAACTCCGGGGTTAATCTCTGTGCGATGTTGGTGTGAGCAGCTCGCTGTCACCACTGGTTTATGAACCCTCCTCACATTTCCAGGAGACTTTGGACTACCTGGCTTGGCTGCAGGGAGCTGTCGGGTTTTTCCTTTCTCCCACTGCCTTTGTCCTGTCAGTTCCCACACCTTTGCCTCCCCACAAACCTCCTCAGGTTGTCCAGCCCGAAACAGCTTCAGAAGCACGAGGCTGAGGCTGGAAATTAAGCCCTACAAACAATCCCATAGTTTTTCCACCCCTGACTATTTCAGAGGACTTCTTGCTTTGTCCATCCTCTGTTTCATGTAAGGCTTTAGCTGGGAGAACAAAAGGCAGCTTTATATGTTGGTCACAGGCTGAAGTTGGGATTAGAACTAGAAATTAAATTACCCAGCCATAATATCAATAGATTAATTTATTACTACATAAATAAAAGGAATCAGTGAGGAAAAAGGTATCTTTTAGAGCTGATTTACATGTAAAACATCCCTGTGGGAGAACATCAGTATTGCACTGTAAGTCCTTTCACATTAACCTTCTCAGCCCAAGTCTGAGGCACTTAGAGGTACCCAGAGATGAAAGCTATCATTGTTGTTAAGCAGCAATGGTCACAAATTTTCCCATTAAACATTTTTTCTTCAGAAAGTGCCAATTTTCTGACTGTGAAGATGGTCTCAGAAAAGGAATGATCCAGATGAAATTGCATAAATTAAAGAAAAATTAAAAATTGAAGTTTAGAAATTTGCTCTGACATTTTTAGAGCAAAAAGTTTTGCTATCCAAAATTAAAATTATACTGCTTTAAAACAGAAAAGCAAACCATATTTAAAAGCCTCACAGCCACGATGAAGATATGAAATCCATTCAGCTTTTCAACTGACCACAATCTGAGATAGTTTGTGGAATATTGACCCGACTTTTTCTTTACAGCACTCTGACAGGATGAAATACCCATCCCTGCTTGGAGGTGCTAGAGATCATCGTGGCATGAGCTCAGAAACCTCCACAAAAATGTCAGTATTTTCATCACTGCTGAAAATACAGCACTGCTGGCAATCTCCATAAAACACTTTAGGGTTGAGGAGACTGAATTATCCCATCCCACACAGTTAAATTACCTTTATGACTAAAATAGGATGAAGGGAGAAGCTTCAGACACACAAGGTGCTTGAGGCCCTAGAGTTGCAACCAGCAGGGTCACAAATGTCCCGTGACAAACTCAAACCAACATTTTCCCCCAGCTCTGCAGCCAACCCATACTGGTCTGAAAGCCACACCAGCCCATCTGCCACTCAGGAGAGGACTGGGGTAACTGGGCTGGGAGGGAGTTTGCTTTTCCCAAGCTGCAGCTCAGTGAGGATGGAGCTGAGAGGATACAGGGATGAGGCACACAGAAAGGGGAGACCTTCAGTCCCTAAATCCGTGTGAAAACAGGCAGCAGAAACACCTGGGGAGCTCCGTGCTCACCCAGTGCCCTGTTTGGTTTGATGTGGGGGCTCCTCTGTGCCTGAGCCCAGCACATTTCTCACGGGCTGCCCAGGTCTGTTCTTCTCCATCGGGGAGCTGTGGAGGACAACGCGCAGGTTCACCGTGTCCAGCATGCGCAACCTCGGCATGGGCAAGCAAATGATAGAGGGCAGAATCTTTGAGGAGCTCCACTTCCTCATTGAGATGATCAAATCCTTCAAAGGTGAGCTGGGGACCGTCCTGGGGCTCGGGTGTGTCACAGCTGCTCCACATCTCACAGCTTCCCCACCCTGCTCCTGCTGCAGGGGAACCTTTCAGCCTGCCCTCCTTCAACTGCGCGCCCATCAACGTCACCTTCATCATGCTCTTTGGGGACAGGTTTGACTACAAGGACCCAACATTCCTCACTCTCCTAAGGCTCATAGATGAAATTATGATTCTTCTGGGATCACCAAATTTAAACGTAAGTAAACTGTCCCACACATAAACACTTTTTTACGTGAGCCAACCGTAGGCTGTGGCTCACATAACTTTACCTCAGCAGTTTTCAGACGTTCAAAACCAGCCATTACACCTAAAACATGACAGTTCTCCACATGCCACTTGGGTCACTAAAATCTGCTGCCAGATTCCCATTACCTACTTTCCTTCTGATCCATCCTGCACATCTGTGTGGAGCTAAAATGAGATCTGAACCATGGTTTCTTTAGCTTAGGAAAATCTGCCTGGGAAGTCCCTGGGACACTGGGATATTACTACTAAAGACAAAACCCAACTGATTCATTGGCCCTTAGGAAAAAAGCTGTTTCAGCATGTGCCAAGGGGATTCTGTGTGAACCTGTGTGGTATTTCTGCAGGCCTAATGCTTCTCTTTTTAAATTTCTCATTAGTATTTCAATTTCTACCCGTTCCTTGGATTTCTTTTCAAAACCCACAAGATTATGCTCAAGAAAATCGAAGATGTGCGTGCCATTTTAAGGCAATACATGAAGGCCAGCAGGGAGGACATCAATGAGAACAGTGTGAGGAGCTACATCGATGCACTGATATTCAAGCAACAAGAGGTATTGGGCTGCTTAGCTCTGTTGGCTGTTTGCAATGTCTCCTTTGGATTTTCTAGCTAAAAGAGTTGCTGAGTCTTGATTTCAGTCATGTTGTGTAAATCTATTGAAATCCATGCTGTTACTCCAGCGGTACTTAAATCAGATGTGAAACACTTACAATTGGTACATTTTTCTATCAAAATTAAGACACAAAAGCTACTCTCAGTCCACTCCTGAAATAGTAGCGCTAATAATGTGAGATCAACCACTCACTCGTAATAGAAAATGCATGAATTCACATGAAAGCTGACTCTGCCTTTCTTTTTATGAAAACAAATCAATTAATCATTGATACTGTTGCTCCATCAAGATGAATGATCCCCTTAAAGAACTTGAATGATAAATCATCAGTACAAGTCCTAAACCTGCCCTGCATCTCACTTTGCAGAGGCTCGGCAGTTTCACACATCAGTTGGTTTCATTCAACACAAAATACTTGGGCTCTGAACTTTTTCTTTCCAGCTGGATCCAGGCTGACCTTAGGCACTAAGAATTCTACTCAGCTAAGTGGAGGAGGAGTTCTCACAGGTCTATAGCCCAGGCAGGAATGGCCTGAAAGGTGATTTTAAGCACCTCCAAACCTTCCACCTGTGGTGCTCCAACTCTGGTGGATGCTGTGCATTCAAGATCAGGTCTATTTTATCACCCAGTTCACAAACACAAGACTACAACCTGCTGTGCTGTAGGTTATGCAGCATTTCCTGAGCTTGCTGAATACTCAGACTGATGGTTTTATGACTTTTCTTACCTCTTATGTTTTTCAAGGAGAAGCACAAGAAAGACAGCCTCTTCCATGACGACAACTTAATGGCATCCATACTTGACCTGGTCATGGCTGGAACAGAGACCATTGCCACCACGCTCCAGTGGTCCATCCTGCTCATGATGAAATACCCAGAGATTCAAAGTGAGCAGCTTTTACCTACTCCATCCATGGCAAGGTGAAATGAAAAGGCCTGGTCTCAGATCCACAGCAGCTCTTTTGCCTAAAGAGCTGAATCCTAGCTCTCCTCTGTGATAAACTGCTAACGTAACTTGGTGTTTATCAAAGTCACAATAAAATAGCCCTTTTGACTTGCTAGGAGAGAGGATGGGTGGAGATCAGAGTATGATGCTGCAGAAAAAACCCACCCACACACCTGAATTAAACACAGAGCAGAGAAACCCAGATTGCTGCTGTAAGAATCCTCTCTCTTTTCAAACTCTGGAAAAATGGGGTTTTTTTCCCCTAAACCAAATCTAAGGAGGGAGTTGCTTCCTTGCTGGGACACATCCCTTTTGTTTGTTCCTTCCAGAAAAGGTCCAGGAGGAGATTGGGAGAACAGTGAAGGCTGGGAGCTGGGCCACGTACGAGGACAGGAGGAGGATGCCCTACACCAACGCGGTGCTGCACGAGGTGCAGAGGTTCATCACCCTCCTGCCACACGTGCCCCGCTGCACGGCTGTTGACACCCACTTCAGGGGCTACTTCCTGCCCAAGGTAGGTATCTGCTGCCTCCCAGGAACACAAAACCCTCCCCAGATCCACCACTGCCACTGGAGAATGGTTTCTTAGAGAGAATTACATGGCAGAGTCCAAAACCAGCCTCAGAAGGGTTTCTATACCGAGCCCAGAGTTGTCATAGGACTCAGTCCAGTCCCCCTCATGCTCAGGACTTCCTCACTACATGAGAAGCCCTGGTTGTACCTCCTTGCTGCCATCTGCACAGTGAAGGATCTGCCAGAGAATTGCAGGATCTTACCTTCCACTTGAGGTTTTCACAGCACCCTGTGGGGTTTGGCTTCAGTCCTTGGCACTAGGGGGAAAAATCTCACTGATGTCTCTCTGCTGGATGATGGGATAAAACCCTCATGGTCTCCACCTACCCCAGGTGGGGCAAATCTGGGACACCAAGGCCTGTGTGAGAAAATGAACCAAAACAATCTCTGTGCCTTTGTGTACTTTTCTTCCAGGGTATAATTGTAATCCCATCCCTTACCTCAGTGCTGCTGGATAAGACACAATGGGAGACACCACATCAGTTCAACCCCAACCACTTTCTTGATGCTGAAGGGAATTTTGTAAAGAAAGGAGCTTTCCTGCCTTTCTCCACAGGTAACTGAAGGGCTGACCTGCATAGAGATGGGGCTGTGGCAGGACCACTTCATTACAACACACACTAATGAGTCTTCATGCCTAAACGCTGCCTCTATCTCAGTCAATAAGCAACCAGACAAGTGAATGGAATCAATTGTTCCGCATCTGGGCAAATGGCTGCTCTCAGAGCATAGCTCTCCCACTGCTAAATATAGCACAAAGAAGGGCAGTAAAAAAAAGCACACCTTTATCTAAAAGTGGTATATGAGGATAAATTCCACAGGAAAGTGAGTTTCAACTATTCCACTTTGGAAGGAGGTGGGATTCTTCTATCAGGCTGCTTTCCAAAAGAAAGGGTTAAAGATGCTGAGAGGGTTGGAAGAGCTAAGGCGAGGAGAGGGCACACATAAATGTGCAATAAAACTGCAGGATGGCTGTAGCCTGTGACAAAAGAGAACAGACAGAAACCTTCAGCAGCACAGGCCCCTCTACTCCAAAATGCTTTAGTGCATTTCAAGGTTTCTCTCCTACTCCCATTGCAACATCTCAGATGCTAAATGTCCATGGCAAACATTCCAGTTGGATTTTCCCATGAGGTGAACTCTCTGCTTGCACCCGCAGGGCGGCGGAACTGCATCGGGGAAAGCCTGGCCAAGATGGAGCTCTTTGTCTTCTTTGTCGGGCTGCTCCAAACATTCACCTTCCGACCCAAGCCGGGAGTTTCAGAGTCTGACCTGGACCTCACCGTCCCCCAGACAACTTTCACATTGAGGCCTCAGCCCCAGGCAACCTGTGCTGTCCTGAGGGAATAAACATGGCCTTGTCCCAGAGCTTTGGGGTCCAAGAACCCAGATTTGCTCAAACTCACCATCTCCTACCCTGCCCCAGCACCACATCCCCTTCCCACTGCCTCCATCCACCCCCTGCACTGCTCCATCCCCCCAGGGCTGCTCTTGGCTCCTGTGCCCTGGGGGAGATGCAGACACAGCCATGGTGCTGCCCATCACACCCCACTTCTCAAGATGTGCACGGAGCTGCTGAAGGGACCAAGCCGGTGCTCTGGCGCAGGGGATGCAACCCATGAGCAGCAGAACACTCAGGTTACCCTCCTGTCACAGAAATCTGCCTGGAATCCTGAGGAAAAACAACCCACAGTTTGGTGGAAGCTGCAGAGAGACACGGTGGGTCACAGGCTTGAGCCATCCATAGGCACCTCCTGAGCTTCCACAGCTCACAGCAAAATCCTGCCAGGATTCCACCCACCAGGCAGCCAAGCCAAACACCAAGAGTGAAAAAATTGATGGGTCCAGGTTTGAGGACTAAATCTGCCTGGGAACAGTGTCCTGGAAGATGCCCCAGAGGCTGCAAACCTGTTCAGAGAAGCAAATGCTGGAGCCAAGCTCAACACTGCTCCCCAGTTGGAACAAAACAGGAGCTGCATTCCTGAGTTTGCAATTTAAATCATGAGGCCACATGAGATTTGCACCAGCATCTGGTCATAAAGGGCTAATGACACAAAAATAAACTATACCCACTGCTAGTTTGACACATCTCTGTCCTTCCTGACCTTGTTAAACAGCAGCAAAGAGTGTTCCCTCTCTTCAGATATCCTGGTTAATGTTACCCTACACCAGCAGTCATTCTGTGTTTGGGATGGTCTGGCCTTTGGAACCAGCCATGCAATTCCCCTGCAAAGGCAGTCTAATTTCTCAGTGCTTGTTTTGCACACACACATGGACAGAGAATGGGGATCAGGGATTAAAGCAGAGCTGGTTTTGGTTGGCTTCCTCTCCTCTGTAGCTCAGCCTGGCTGTTGTCTCTATCTCACTCTTACATCATATTCCACAACCTTATTCCAGCTGAGGCAATTTCCCATCCATTTACCTGCTGTGACTTCCCACTCCTCCACATGCATTTTCTTATCAAGTGCTTTATCATATTGTTTGTTTCCCCTTCATGGGAACTCAATAAAGTTTTAATCCCATGTCCTCATTACATTTCCTATGCCTGGTACCCAGCTTTGCAGCACACAGAAATGCAAACACCATGAAAGGTTGGTGCTGAGCCCAGAGTGACAACAGATAAAATGTTGGATGTATCCCATGGGTGAGAAGTTCTGCATATGCTCATCCTGGTAAACACCAGCTCACCAGCAGACCCTCCATACCTGCAGGGTTGTTTCACCAGGGCAAATTCCTCAGCTGTGGGCTGTGAGTCAGCCATGGGGACAGCCTCAGTTCTTCACTTCTGTGCCTCTTGCTGCAGAGGCTGAATTAAAGGTTGCACCACAGCCTCCCTGCTGCTGGTGCTGCCCTCTGCTTGGTGCTTTGGATGGGAGGGCAAGGAGAGACAGGTAAAGCAACTGGGGAGCAAACCCCATAGTAGCTCTGTGCAGGAAGCCTTGGTCTTGCTGAAATAAAATAACATTTTTGCATTTGGCTTCAGAAAGGCCAGGACTGTTCCTGTTTTAACCCCTCCAAAATAACATGAGCTGAAAGGATAGATAAAGCAGCAGGGTAGTGCTCCAGGGAACAACACTGAGCTGGGCTCAAATCTGCACAAATTCACTGGTGGAACCTCAGACCTGCCCCCTTGCCATGGGCTCTGAGGTTCTTGGCTTTGAAGCAGAGAGATGGATCCCTCCCTCCACAGCACAGCAGCCTCCAGAGCTGCAAACATCCAAGGAAAACAGGTTCCTTGAGTTCCTTTGAAAAATGCACCCAACTTGTGCCTGTGTCAGCAGATGGATAGGAGTGATCCCTCCCCAGCACACTGAATTACACAGCTGAATATATCTCCACAAAATAAAGTGCCTGTCTCCCATTTATTTGCTCAGCCAGGCGATGGCAGAACATTGATTATGACTCAGCTATCTATTTATCTAGCAGAAAACATTGGCTCTCAGAGCTGGAAATACCATTTCCACATTCCTCAGTGGCCCTGAGGGTCTCCCCTGTAGCTGCAAAACATGTTTGTGCCTTGCACCTCTCACCTGGATTGAAGGCAAACACCTTGGGGCAGGACAGGTTCCTTGATGTTTAGAGCCAGAGCTGAACAACACAAACTCATTTTGTGGCTCACAGCACTGGCAGCTGTCCCATAGCCCAGCGTGCCACCCCAGGGCTGTGTGATGCTGGCACCAGAGGGGCAAGGATCAGGGGCAGGGATTGCAGCAACTCCTTCTGTCCCTCTCTGCACTGGCCAGAGCAATGAGCATTGCACACAATCCAATTTCTGATTTGTTTTTGCCACGAGATGGCACCACGATCCCTCTGAGCCACAGCCAGCCCTGCCCTGTGGTCCTTACTGGGCTAGAACACCCTGCCAGCACAAATCTGGGCTGGGGAAGGAGTCAGGACTAAATCTGTAGGGTTTATGCCCCGCTCAGTCCAACTGCACTCACCTGCTGCAAAGCTGGGAGCAAAACCACCCATTTCCATTAACCTGAAGAATCAGGTGTGTGCAGGGCTTAAATTCATCTGGCATCTCCCATTTTCCCTGTTTTATGTGGCAGCACAGGGGTGAGCAGGGGGACCCAATCCCTTTCCCTTTCCCTGTTTTAACCAAGAGTCCGGGGTGAGCAGGGGGATCCCTGCCCTTCCCCACAGCACCCCCAAGCTCTGCTGCAGCATGTGTGGATGTTGTAAGCTTCTGGCCTTCCCACTCAGCATTCCTCCCCTTGGGCTGTGTCTGGCAGCCAAGTTCTTCCTCTGAAGAGCCAATTCCTGGGCTTGCACCTGCCAGTAAGACCCTTCATCAGTGCAGACACCCAGTTCACTGGAATTCCTGACTAATCTGTGACCTGGCCCTAACCCAGCAGGGTGGGGGAAACCCAGAGGTGCAATGGAGGGTTCCAAAACCACATGGATACTGCCCATGAGGACATAGCTTAATGCTGAACATGGTGGTGGTGCTGAGTTGATTAGACCTCATTATCTTGAAGGTTTTTTCCAACCTGATCATTCCTGTGATTAAGCTACAGCAGCTGTTGGCTGCTCCCCAGTGATGGAGCAGAGGAGGGACATGGGCCAGGCTCCCTTGGTGCCCAGCTGCTCCCCACTGCCCCCAGCAAGGCAGAGACAATGCCCTGGTACCCAGAGGGAGCACTGCCCTGCAGGGAGGGAAGGGAACAAGGAGCAGAGCCCAGGGTATGGGCTGAGCTGTGGGAAAAGGGAACTGTGCCCAACCCTGAAATCACAATGCCATGGGACTGGGCTCAGAGGAGATGAGGCAGGAGGAAACTGGCTCTCCACCTCCAAAAGCCCTGTGCTTGAGGCTGGCTCACTCCTGGTGCTTTTTGCCCTGGTGAGCTGCACCCCTTCATCTGGAGAGCAGCCCTGGGGGTGCAGCAGCCTTTGAAGGGAGGCGCACCAGGAGCTTGTGGCAGGAGAGGGATGGATCTCCACACCTCATGGATCACTGCATTAGGAAATGTCATCTCAAAGGCAGGGAAGCAGCCAGGGCCAAGAACTCAGTCTCTGTGTCACCCTTTTCTGCAGGGCAAAGGGACAGTGGTAAAACACCTGTGAATCCCAGCTCCTGCTGAATGTGGTTGGATACCCCAGGACAGGAGGTCTGCAGCCCCTGGGGTGGGAAGAACCTCTCAGATGCTTTGATCTGGAATGGCAGTGCTCAGTGCTTGGATGGATGTGGACAGCACCCAGATTTTGGATGCTCTAGCACACATGAGAGCCTATGAAGCTTTTAGAGGTGAGCAGCACTAACAAAGTCACTGCAGGATACTTCAGCACACTGTGCAAGCAAAGCAAATCTTACTTTGAATCTTGGGGTCCCTCAGCAGCAGCAGCAGGAGGCCCCATTGCAATGCTGTGGATGCTGTCTGAGTGCCAGCCATGAGCAAGCTGAACACAGGAGCATCATGATCTGCAGAAAGAAATCATATTGCTTTTATTAGGGATATATGAAGAAAAAAAGCATAAAAAGAGAGAACTAGGACAGGAATCCCAGGCTCCAGAGACATTACAGTGGGATGCAGGCAAGTGACAAGTACAAGTTGCATCATGTTGATATTTCAGTACAGAATTCCTTCAGTTTTCAGAAGAAACAGTTGCACATGTGAGATTTTGCTGCCCCAAAATGAACCAATTGCACAAATTCATCCATTTTTAAACACCACATGGCATTTATCTGTCTAGGCAGTGGTTGTATGACCAGCTCAGAACACCCAACCACTACCTGTGGATTCTGAGAAGGCAGAAATTTGATGAGAGGTGCAGAATACCTAAGTGGAGGAGCTGGAATTTGTCTGTGTGTGTGTGCCACAGGAGAGCCATGAAGACTCAGGACACCCCTGACACATGAGCTCCACTGTCCTGCTCCTGCTGCTGGTGGGAAACTCTTTCCCCAGTCACTGCCTGGCCCAAGAATGCGGATGCAAACACTTGGAGGAAAAGGGCAAACACAGGCTGGTCCAGACTCCCACACAAGTGTTCCTGTTGTGAAATCCAGCACGTGGGAGCTGGTGAGGGCTCTGCACAAATGCCATAGGAATTTCCCATCTCTGTGACTCTGCTGCCTCTTGCCATGCCCATAGGGAGGGATGTGCCTGCCTGGGGAGAGTAGAAAAGTGACATTGCCTCTCTCACCCTCCAGCAAGGAATGGATGTAGCTGACAGCTGATGACAAAATTTGTCTTCCTTTTCCTTCAGTAGGAAGTATTGAATGTACTAAAATAGGAGGACGATTACCTAAAATGTAAGTATTTCCATAGGAACAGTCACAGAGTGTGTTCATCAGACAATAATCTCATCAACATCTCTGATAAAGCACCAGGAATCACCCTATGGTTAAAATACCTCTTGTTTGAATACCAAAGCATCAGTGTAGCTCATCAGGCTGTGCTCATTAATGCTCCCTTTCCTCTCCTTGAGGCATTTCTTTATGATCACACTCACCTTTTCTCCCTTTTTCAGTATCATTTTGGCAGGTTTGAGGAAAAATCCAAAGAATGGGTAGAAATTTAGCAACTAAAAAGAAAACAGGAAAAAAAAATCCCAAAAACTTAAACTCATCCATTACCTTGTAAAACTCAAGTATCTTGATGGAGGCATCATTTATGTGAGCAACCACATAACTGGAGTGACTTTTTTGGTAACTAAAAAAATTTAATGTATCAAAGGACCTCCTCTTAGTTACAATTCTCTACAGAAATGAATGGGGCCTATCAGACATGTCTAGATAGAGCCTATAAACATGAATTTAAAAACACAATTAAGAGAAAGTGATAGTAAACTCATGAAACAATGAAATTAGATTTTTAAAGAGGCAATAAAGCAAAAAGATAAAGCATTTCACAAAGAAAACTCCAAACGTTTAGTAAGCCAAACCACTTCTGTTTTGAATTTAGATCATTGATTTTATCTTTCACATGAATTACAAATCAATTACACTCAGCATTGTTAAATTTCACAGCACAATAAGCAGCTGCATTTTATGTGCAGGGAAGTTACTTACACCATTTCTCAATGTTATAGATAAACTGGCTGCAGAGTAAGATTCACAAAGCTCTTGCTAGCTGGCTAGAATTTTTGCTGATTTCTGCTAAACCTGAACCTAAAAAACCCCAAATACACTTGCAATTGTCTCCAAAACAAGAGGTTAATTCTGGACATTCACACAGTATCCAGCAGAAAATAACTGGAATGAGCTTTTCTTTCTACATCCACAAATAAAATCAGATTTACAGTAGTTTTATTACTAAAGAAAGGAACTCTGGATATGAAAAAACCTGATTCCTCCTCTCTTCCACCTTAGCCTTGCTTGGCCTGAAAATCCTGGGAAATAGAGCATGCTGGTACTTTGTGGTTTATTCTGAATCTTTCTGGGCAGGAGGAATTATTTTAGGCAGTTGTGTGCTGTTCACACCAAAGCTCTGGATTTGGCTTGCTTATGGCTCTGTCCCTGCAGCCTGACACAGTGAGAAGCTCAAGGCATGGGATTTGTCTCAGGCTGACTTGTTTTTCCCTAAAAAAATTACCCAGCTGTTTCAGAGAGAGCAGATGCCACTGCTCCATCCCTGTGGTGAACAGGACAAGGGATTTCACTGAACAATTTGTGGTTTGGAGGATGAACGGCAGGGGGACAGGAGGGGTGGCAGGGAGGCACCTCTGCTGACAGCTGGGAACTCCCTCCCACAGCTGGCTGAACCTGCAGCCAAAAAATGCTCAGTCAGGAGGGCACGGAGGTGTTTGGGTGAGAGCAGAAATCTCCCCTCCCAGGAGGGCTGAGCACAGCCAGGATCTTCCCCCAGTCACTGAGAAATAGCACAGGGGACCCTTCCTCACACTGGGCCTCCCTCTTAGCAACACATGAACCCCCTGACACACATGCTGTATGCATTATATACACATTAGGTCATCAAATCTTTCTCATTCAGCCTTGGATGATTCCCTTCATTGTTTTCCAATGTCTGCTCTTGGGCAATGTGTTCGTTTTTGACATGACAAAAATCTGTTTACAGAACTAATTGTTTGAGGTACAAACAGCCTGTGCTACTGCACTCCTGCCAGTTCTTGCAGCCTTTATCATGAGTCATCGTGATCCATGCTCTGTCTGAACTCCCAGTAACTGCACAGGGGATTGCATAAGGACCTCAGCCTTTGCATTGTCAAAAATAATTTTCTTCCCTCTACACTGCAAAAATAATAATAAAAAAACATCTTGAAATGTGATCCAAGAGCCACTAAAAGCAAAAAAAAACTGATATGAGAAACAAAAAGACACCCAAATATATTTCTCCTAAAAAGAGAACTCACCCAAGCCCTACAAGAATAGCCGTGACAATGAGGACAGAGCTCAAGCCTCTCACAGACCCTTACAATTGTTACAACACATTTGAGAAGCAGCATAGCCAATAGATCCTTATCTGTCCAACCTGTCCCATGTCAATGCTGGATGTGACAGAAGGTGGAGGCACCTGCTCTGAGTGCCCTTCCTGCCAGCCAGCAAACCTCTGGAAACCCCAAAAGGACAGGGAACATCAGGCTGTGCCTCTCTGCAACCTGGAGGAGAAAAAATCAGCGTGGAGGGCACCAGGGGGAGTGACAAGTCCTGCTGGGTGGGCAAGAGTGGCCTTGAGGCAGCACCCAACAGTGGAAAGATACAGCACTTTAGAAATATAACCCAGATCTCACAGTGTCCCCTAAACAGGAAAAAAGCATTTGACTTTGTTTTGTTTGAGTCCCTTCAGATCCCAAGGATGTTGCTCTGAGATGGTATCAGCCTTCAGGGTGCTTTGGGATTGTTCCAAGGGGCAGCAAGGGTCACACCTGCACTGACACAGCACCCCCATTTAAAGCTGATCTCTCTCCCCATCTCAGGAGGGACCTGGGCTGACTGGAAAGGACGTGACCTCAGCTTGCTGCAGCCCTCAGCACCAGCCAGGAGCACCCCAAACCCACGTGTGTCACAACAACAGCATCTGTGGTGAGAGCAGGAGCCTGGGAGTCTGGACATGCTCATCCACGTCCCTGCCTGGACAAGGACCTGCCTGTGTGGCTTTGAGGAGCCAGGGCTGTGGCCCCAGCCAGCCCCAGGGTGTGTGTCAGGCTGCTGTGAATGAGCCCTTGTGCCTGGAGCCCCACTCTGGGGCTGCCTCAGCTCCTTCCCTGCCCCATCAGCATTTCTGGGAGAAATGCAGAGAAAAGGTAAAGCAGGGCACACTGCAGCAATGGCATTGTCACACAATGTGGGAATTAACAAAAGCAAGGGGCAGGGAGATGTCACTCTGATACTAAAGATTTGTTTATGATTTCCAAAGAAAATGGAGAAGGAAGCAGTGGGACCACCTCTGCCAGCCCTCAGGTTACTCATTACCTGCTGGGTGAAGCAAATGAAAGAGGCAAAGGTGGGCAAAGATAACAGCTTCTTAGATGGCCTACAAAAGCATTGTCACCACAGAGACACGGGTTAAAAATTAAAATGAAAATTAATGTTTATCTAGGAGTAAATGATCTCTCAAAAAGAAATCAAAACTTCCCCTGTCAGGGCAGGGTCATGTCACAAGTCACAAGAGAAATCACAGAAAAGGAAGCCCAGAAGAAAAAGCAGAGAGCTCTGGGACTGAAACACCCCCAGGGTTGCAGCTGGGAAAGAAAGTTATTCCTTGGGCTGTGTAGATTTATTTGGGGATTGAGCCCATCCAAATCAGACACTCTTAAACAAAGAGGATCAGAGAGCAGAAATAAAGGTCCTTCCCTGCACCTTGGGGCCAGCCATGAGCAGGTGGGGCTGGGGACATGGACAGAGCCTGACACTGGCAGTTCTTCCACAGAAACCCAAAATCAGGAGCAGGCAGAGACTCCACCTGCACAGCCCTGAGTGCTGCACCCCAAACTGGCCAAGAGCACGAGGCGGGTCCCAGCTGGGGTTTGACAGGTCACATCCTCAAAAGTGGCCTTTCCTTCCCCACTGCTGTCCCTAAGCAAGGCCAGGGGTGGTGGGGCTGTGTCCTGGGGCACTGCTGGGGCCTGGGGGCTCTGGACAGGTCACTGGGAAGGAGCAGCAGCTCCGGTGTGGGTGGCCTCAGCAGCACTCTCTGCTCAGGGCCACAGCTTGCAGGCGGCCACAGGAAAAAACTGAGCCCTCCTTCATTTATTTTTCTTGCAAGCTGTGTTTTAGATGTTCCCCTGAAGGGCCCTTTGAAGCAGCACAAGCTGCCCTGGACCCCTCTCCTCAGCTAATTAACACGTGCCGACAGCCGGCACCTCCTGGCGCAGCTGAGCAAGGACAGCCCTGACCAATCTCTGGCCCAAATCCACCCCCCAAACCCACCCTCCAGCTCCTCTGAGCCTTCCACAGCCAAAATGCTGCTGACCCTGAACCCAGCAGGC